CAAGTGTGGTGGTATACGCCTATAATTCCAGCACTTGGGAGGCTGAGGCAGAAGGATCCCTTCAAGTTCGAAGCTAGCCTGGACTACGTAGTGAGCTCAAGGCCAGCCTGAATTACATAGGGAGACCCTATCTAAAAAACAAAAAACAAATGGTCAATGAAAACATGGTCAATAAACACTTGATAAAACTCCCTCCCTCATCATTTTTTGGAATAATATGCAATGATACATTGTTTTTCACCCAGAAAATTAGCAAAGCCTTTTTTTCCCATTCTTTTTTTGGCACGAGGGATCAAACTCAGGACCTTGAGCTTTCGAGGCAGCTGCCAGAACCACTGAGCTAAATCCCTGGCCCCAAAGGCTTTTGTTTTTAATTGATAAGCTGTATCACCAAGAGTGAGGCAAGGGGTTGGGGATTTAGCTCAGTAGCACAGCGCCTGCCTGGCAAGCACAAGGTCCTGAGTTTGATCCCCGGTACGAAAAAAAAAAAAGAGTGAGGCAAAATAGCATAGATGGGAATATAAATTGGTATAACATTTCTGGAAGGAAATTTGGTAATATCTAAATTTGAAATGCAAAAGCACTTCGCCCCATTAACCTCACCTTTAAGAATGTACTCTGTAGATACCTTAGCTCAAGGTGATCTATTTCAGGGTGATCTCTGTAGTACCATTTGTAATACTGAAATCCTAAATGTCCATCTATAAGGCACAAATATATCAAGAATTTGTGAAAAAAAAAAAGAATTTGTCTAACGGAAATATCACAGATATTTAAAAGAATTCCACTTACTTTTATCAAATGAAAAGATCTTCAGATTTATTAAGTATAGAAAACACAAATGTAAAAGAGATCTGAAATATGACTCACATGTAGAAACCAAGAATGACATGCGTGAGGGAAGAAGCACCACATTGTATAACTTTCTACAGTGTCTGAATTTTTCAGTAAGTATATAATTCCTTTAAATTAAAACAATTATAAGCATATTTCAGCAATTTTTCCACTTTTTTTTTTAAACAGGGTCTCACTATGTAGCCCAGGCTGGCCTCAAACTCATGGCGATCCTCTTGCCTCAGCCTCCTGAGTGCTGGGAGTACAGGTGTGCGCCACCATGCCCAGCTCCTTTCAGCAATTTTTTAAATGAAACTAAACCATCTTATATTTCTTGAACAAGGATTAGTGAAAGAGGAAATTTTTCATGAGGACAACAAAGATTTTTAAAGGTTATCATGGGTAATCTACTACAAAAGCAATAAATGGACAGAACAATTACAATTGATCTATAACCTTTAAAACGCTATATACACTTGCCGAGCATGATGGCACATGCTTGTAATCCCAGCACTCAGGAGGCTGAGACAGTAAGATTGCCATGAGTTTGAGGCCAGCATGGGCTATGTAGTGAATTGAAGGCCAGCTTGACCATGTCTAAAATCCTCCCCATAAAAAAAACCTAAAAAACAAAAACAACTATATACAGAATTTTATTCTATATCACAATTATCCAGGAACTATATGATTCAACTCCAGTTAACTCTGAGTTATTTTTCTTTTATCATCACCCTATATTGATGGTGTGGGCTGCGCCTATACCTAATACGATAATCAGCCTAATTACCATCAAACTTTTACATCATATTATCTTGTTTGCAATCAAGAGCCAGCTGGGCATGGTGGCACACATCTCTGATCCCAGTATTTGGGAGGCTGAGGCAATAAGATTGCCATGTGTTTGAGGCATGTTTGAGGCCAGCGTGGGCTACACAGTGAGTTCAAGGCCAGCCTGAACTACCTACATAGCAAGACCTTGTCTCAAAAGAACTAAAAAAATCAAGCATCAATTTCTGGTAGGAAAGTTAGAGAATTTCATGTAGATTACAACTGTCAGTTGACATTTAGCAGGGAACTCTAAAGCTACATCAGGATCTAGAATGAGTTAGGAGCATTATCAATGAGGAGATAAGATCTTAAGGAACACAGTGCTAGATACTAAAAAAAACTGTTTTCACATTTGCTATCCTTGGTTTTGCATAAGCACTGATAAGCTGTAGGATTTGCCCAAAGTCATCCACATAAGTAGGTAATCAGTCAATGACTACATACACAGTAACACTTCAAGCCCTATCTCCTGACTTCCTCCTGCCAAAGGTTGGGTTATGTGTAATTTAACAAAACAGATATTTCTGAGAATGAAAGGGGACAACACCCATATAAAGAAGTATGTTGACCGCCAGGTGTGGTGGCGCATGCTTATAAGTCCCAGCACTTGGGAGGCTGGGGCAGGAGGATCTCTGTGAGTTCCAGGCAAGCCTGCACTACATAGTAAATTCAAAGTCAGCCTGAACTAATGAGACCCTGTCTCAAAAAAACAAAAAAAGGGGCCAGGGGTGTAGCTCAGTGGCTCTGTGCCAGTCTGGCAAGTGCAAGGTCCTGAGTTCAATCCCAGGTACCACAAAAAAAAAAAACTAAATAAAAAGCTATATTGAAAATATGAACAAATAAACAAAATAATCACATTGGGCAATGATGAAAACTGAGGCCAAACTAGGCAAATTAGGACATATGGTCAGCCTACCCATAAATTATTGAGTTACAAATGCGATTAAAAATCCAAGAATTTTGCACACCAAGTTAAGTTTAATGAAAATTAAGTCTCAAAGTTTTTGACAACATTAGTTTTCAACCACCTGTACCAAGCAATACTACCTAGTAAGTTCTTTCAAACTTCCCTTCTGGGTCCTCCCTAGGAAGATTCTGATTCACTTCAGTGGGGTTCAAGAAGTTGTTTTTGTTTGTTGGATGATAGCCTCATCCACAGGTGATTTTCATGTACACCCCAAGCAAGAAGCATCACAATAAGCTATGTCTCGTCCACTAGCCTGAATGTGAATCACCTGGGAAACTTGGTGAAATAAAATTATTTTTCAATAAATGTGAGATGAGGCATTTCTAACAAGCTCCCTTGAGGCTATTTGACAGGCCACACCAACTGGCCTGGCATCTTTCAAATCTTGTTACTCAAAGGTCACATTTACCCATCCCCACAAACTCTTCAAAATGAAAAAATGTTAAAGTGAATGGAGAAACACATCTTTTTCAATGAGCATTAGTTACGTTAAGCCAGGGTGCAGGTGGTACTGTCACATTTCTTAATTTAAGCTAAACAACACAATTTTTAACATCTGCGCTAAAACCGAAATGATGAAAATTTAATGAACTAAAATAATGAATACTGATCATTCATAGAAGTTAGAGTAATTTAAAAGCTTCCATTAAATTGAGACATAAAGAGATATTACATAGTGACAGGAAGTTTCAACAAAAATAATTTTTCTATCTCCAAGAACTGGAAGGAAAAATAAACACAAACCTTTAACATATGGGGAACTCAAGGGAGTCAATTTGAGTTACCACTAAGTTCCATAAAAGAAAATGTTTCTCTCCAATTTTGGCGCTTCCTTCTTTGCTGAAATTCCACTTTTTATATCACATTAGAACTTACCTTTTGCAAACATAAGTATCATAAGCAACTATTAAGAGTCTAGTCAATAAACTTCACTGTGCCAATTTAAGCAGCAATATTTACATTCCTGGTGGGATCAGGCTTCTGATTATTACAATTAAATTTAAATAGAATTAAAAGAATGTTTCTTTATTACAAGAAATTTCAGGATGTCAAAGACACCTGTCTCAGAAAGTTCAACTCTTATTTGTTAAGCAAACAAGGCTCAAATTGCAAATCCTTGTTAAAATAAAACTCAGACAAATCCCATTGCAAAAATAAATATCCTGATAATAGACAACATCAGAGTTGCATTTACAAGTCTATCACTCTTAATCAAAAGTCTTGACCTTAACAAGCACAGTGTCATTCTCTTTGTATTTACGTACTAAGCAAACCTGCATATAAGAACTAATAAAGGGCCGGGGATTTAGCTCAGTGGTTCCGGTGCCTGCCTTGAAAACACAAGGTCCCGAGTTTGATCCCCAGTACCCAAAAAACAACAAAAAAAGAGAAAGTGCTGGGGGTGTAGCTCAGTAGTAGAATGCTTGCGTAGCTTGTATGAGGCTCTGGGTTCATTCTCCAGTACCACAAAAAATAAGTAAATAAATAAACATTTGGGCCGGGGATTTAGCTCAGTGGTTCCACCACCTTCGTCGCAAGCACAAGGTCCTGAGTTCGATCCCCAGTACCAAAAACAAAACAAAACCACTCAAAATTATTGGGCCAGGGATTTAGCTCAGTGGTTCCGGCGCGTGGCTCGCAAGCACAAGGTCCTGAGTTCCATCCCCGGTACCAAATAAAAAGAACTAATAAAAATGGGCCAGGGATTCAGCTCAGTGGCACTGTGCCTGCCTCACAAGCACAAGGTCCTGAGTTCAATTCCCAGTACCAAAAAAAGGAACTAATAAAATTTGCATTTTTTTTTTTTTTTGGTACCGGGGATCGAACTCGGGTCCTTCCGCTTGCAAGGAAGGTGGCAGAACCACTGAGCTAAATCCCCGGCCCTTTCCCCCCTAAATTTATACCTCAGTAATAACTATTAGGTAACTTGCTAATTACTCTATTTCTATTCATTATATCTAATGAGAGTAATTAGTAATTTTATTATGAGATTATTAAACTTATTTAGAATAATCTATGTATATGATTTTAGGAGTTCATTCTGTCATTTACCTAACATGGACCTACATAAAATAAAATACATCAGTACTGATCACTGCTATAGCTCCAGTATATAACAGTACACCTCAATAATTACTGGTAGGTTAGGCAGTTGAATGAAAGAATAATGTTTAAAACATAGTAGATATTCAACTGAAGTATTTATCAAGAAAGGATTTATTTTCTAACTTCTTTTTTTTTACCAGATATAAAACTATCACTACAAAACTATGAATACTCATATAATAAACAGAACTAAAGAGATGGCAATCTCTGATCTAAAATACTGAAACTGTTTATTAATTAATGTCAAAAAAATTAAAAGCCTCACCATTTTGAAGTGTCTCCAGGTACTCTTCTGAAGAGTTTCTCTGGTCTTTATCTTTCTCAAGATTTTCAGTGGACTTCGACAGCCGCTTTCTTGGAGACATCTTTTTACACACCACTGAGTTGTCTAGGAGAGAAGATATAACAAGCATTGAACAATAGCTACAAGAAAAAATTCTGAATGTTCCCAACACAAAGAAGCAATGTACATTTATGATGGATAAACTATTTATCCAGATTTGACCTTTACAAGTTTATATATGTATCAAAATAAAACAGTATTCCATAAACATGTACAATTGTTATGTATCATTTAAAAATTTAAAAATAGGGCTGGGGATGTAGCTCAGAGATAAAGTGCTTGCTAGTATGTGTAAAACCCTGTGTTCAATCCCCAGTAACATCAAAAAACAACTGAAATTAAAAATTAAGAAAAGCTTTGAACATCACTGGTTATTTGAGAAGTACAAATTAAAACAACACTGAGATTCCATCTCATTCCAGAAAGAATGGCTATCATCAAGAAATCAACGAATAACAAATGCTGATGAGGGTGTGGAGAAAAAGGAACTCTTCTCCACTGTTAGTGGGAATCCAGACTGGTGCAACCACTATGGAAATCAGTATGGAGATTCCTCAAAAAACTAAAACTAGAGGTTCTATTTGACCCACCTATTCCCCCTTCTAGGTATCTTCCTGGAAGAGTTAGAAGCATCATACCACAGTGATATATGTACACCCACGTTTATAGCAGCACAATTTATAATAGCTGAATCTTGGAAAGAGCCTATATGCCCATCAGCACATAAATAAAATGTAGTTTTTACATACAATGGAGTATATTCTGCCATAAAGAAGGATAAACGAGACATTTTTAGGTAAATGGATGCACCATGAGAACAAACTCTCTTGTCTGTTTGCTTGTTTGTTTTTGGGTGCCAGGGATTGAACACGGGACCTTGTGCTTGCAAAGCAGGCAGCAGAACCACTAAGCTAAATCCCTAGCACGAGAACATACTCTTAAGTGAAATAAATTGAACACACATGTTTAAATACTACATGGTTTCTCTTATGTGAAAAACCAAAAGGGTAAATAAATAAGGATCAAATGGAGGCTAGCTATTGGGAAGTAGAAAGAAAATGTTGAAATGAGGAGGGCAACAAGGAATACCAGAGGAAGGAAGGAAGAAAGGGAATGGGATTTTTTTTCTTCAGTACAGGGACGGAACTCAGGACCTTGGGCTTGCAAGGCAGCCGTGGTGCCACTGAGCTAAATCCCCGGTGGAAATGGGATTTTTAAAAAAAGAATGGAAGGAAACAATAGAAACAGTTTTATAAATGGAGAGGGGAAGAAGGTATGAAGGGAAAGGAATGGGAAAAAAAAGAATTAAGATATATTATGTACAGGTACAAATTCCCTATAATGAATGTGATGATTATGTATGCCAAAATTGTACTGATTGGACCAGGCAGGGTGGTGCATGCCTGTAATCCCAGCTGAGGCAGGAGGATTACTGAAAGTTCGAGGCCAGCCCGGACTATATAGTGAGTTCCAAACCAGCCTGGACCTCAAAGCAGAACCCTGTCTCAAAACACTAAAAACCTAACAACAACAACGACAAAAAAAGTACCAATAAAATTAATTTCAAAAAAGAAAGAAAAGCTTTTAACTATGTATGCATCTAGTTTAGGTGAATTTCAGAATACTACCACAATGTTTAAGAGAGATAACAAGTGATGACATATATCTTCCTTTTGTTTAATTACATTAAGCTGAGTATAAGATACTATAACAAAGCTGAAGAAATTAGCCTCTATATCAAAGGTCCTTTTTAGATATAGCCCTATTCCTTTTCTTTAAGTGCATATTAGTAATGCAGAATGCTGAGATTCATCTTGAGAAATCAGTACAAAAATATAACATATCTTGATCATTTTCAATCTCCCTCTCCCTTTCCACACCTCTTCTCCAACTCCAAAAGTCTATTTTCTAGTTTCCTATCATCTCTCCCTTATTTCACTTAACATGTGCAGTGCAATGTTTCCCAAAGTAGAATAACAGCTAATTTTTGAGCTCTTACGTGCTTTATGTATTAAGTATTTTAAACACAATAAAAAGCATCAGTGGAAAGTAACAGGTGTAAGGGCTGGGAATTTAGCTCAGTGCCACTGTGCCTGTCTGGCAAGCACGAGGTCCTGAGTTCGAGCCCTGGTACCAGAAAAAAAAGAGAAAGAAACAGGAGAGGCCTGGGGATCTAGCTCAGTGGTTTCACTGCCTGCTGCACAAGGGCAAGGACCCAAGTTCGATTCCCGGTACCAAAAAAAAAAGTAACAGGAGTAAGAGCAACAACAGTGTTGATTTAAGGAACTCCTATTATGTATCTTCCAAGCACCGTACCATCAAGCCCTTTATGTTTTCTTAACTTTACAATCTTAGACAGTTATTACTCTCATTTTATAGATGAGAAAAATATAGTTTAAGGAAATGATTTAACCTCTGCCAAATCCCATAATCCTCCAACAGCAGAAGTAGATCGGCCAAGAAAGACTTACAATTCCACAGCCTAATGCCTAATCACTAGGCTGCCTCCAACACACTTCCTATGTTATGGTTTCCTAGACCACCACCTGTCCCTTCAGCATCTCTGTGGTTCCACTGCACTGTGCACTGTTTCTCAGGACTACGTTTTCTCTCAAATTCCCCAAATCTTGTGGAAAGTACCTGCAGTTCAGCAAGAATGCATTAGGACACAAAGTCAATGTATGAATTAATATCATCACTAATCATTCTAAGTAATAGGATATAGTGCTCTAAACCTGCATAATCAAGAGAAAACCATGTGCTGGAAGGATGTCAATGCACATCACCTTTTATGTTAACAGCTTCATAGATCCTACAACTATTTTTAATTGGTGGTGAGGGATCCCCTAGATTCTTGAATTATGCATAAATTACTTCAAATATTTCAGTACGTGAAACTGAGTTACACCCTCATCACACAGACTGACTAAAACAAGGTTATTTTGCTTTGTTTGGCTCAGTGCATCAACTCAGAACACTGTTATGTTGATTACAAAGTACTGAGTTTGCACAATCACACTGTCATAAGAGCTTAATTTGCTAATTTTAGAAGTGTGCCAGAGGAGAAACTGTTATTTCACCTAACAAAATCTTTACCTCATATATCATAGCCTATAGTACTATCTTTAGCCTGATTTTCCCTACCTATAGGAAATGAGAACTGTAATGGAAAACAGTGGAAAGTGTCAGAACACCAATGTTCCAAGAGTTTCAAGTCCTGCTCTGCCATACCATTGTGCTCTTGGATATATCTTCCAATCTCTGAATCTGTTTCTTCATCTAAAAACTGGAGATAAATACTACAGAACAAGGTTATGCCACAAAAAATGAGGAATGATATACACCAAGGTGCCAATGTTTTATTATAAATAATTGGGCCAGGGACGTAGCTCGGGGTGCCACGCCTGCCTGGCAAGTGCAAGGTCCTGAGTTTGATCCCCAGTATGGGGGAAGGGGGCTGATTATTATTAATAATTGAACTTGTTATTTAACTCTACCTTCAAAATGTATCTAAATCTCTCTTCTCACATCAGTCACTTTCACTACTATCTAAACCCCTATCATCTCACTGTGTTAGCATCCTAACTACCTAAATGGTCTTCCTTTACTTGTTCTTCTGTTTTTTCTTGTTGTTGGTTGGTTGGTTGGTTTTTGATTTTTCGAGACAAGATTTTGCTCTGTTGCTGGCCTTGAACTTGAAATTTTCCTGTCTCAGCCTCCCAAATGCTGGGATTACAGATGTTTGCCACCTCACCCAGTGAGTCATATTTTTCAAAAGCTGAGTCAGATTAAGTCACTTCCCTGCTCAAAACCCTTCAAACACCGGATTTCTTTTTCTTTTGGTGCTGGGAATAGAACTCAGGTCCTCATGCATGCTAAGCACACACTCTACCACTAAGCTCTATCCCTAATCATGGATTTTGTTTTAAATCCTCACCATGGTCTAATAATTGCCACATTATCTGCCCTCCCCATTACTCTTATCCTCATCACCTACTATGACACTCTCATTCATTCACTCTATTCTAGTTTCTTAGGTCTTCTGTTTTTTATTTTCCAGCACTGGGATCAAATTCCAGGCCTTCCACACATTAGGCAAGCACTCTACCACTGAGTAACTATACTCCAAGCCCCTTTCTGCCAGTTCTACAACAAGCCCAGCTGTTCCCACTTAAAGTCCTCTAATACAGTATTCCCCCTGCCTGGAACATCTCCCTCAGATGCCCTCAAGGTTTCTCCTTCACTGATTCAAGTTCTCCATTCAAAAATCCCCTCCTCCTAGACCTCCTTATCTACACTATTTAAAATAAACATCCCAGAACTGTTCCTCTCATCCCCTTATCTTATTTTTCTTCAAAGGCATATTAGCTAATAGAGCACACTATTTTCCAACTACTCCTCAAGACTATATTCCCCATGAAAAGTAGAATTCCCTGGACCAGGGATTTAGCTCAGTGGTGCCACCGCCTGCCTTGTGACCGCAAGGTCCTGAGTTCAATCCCCAGTACCAAAAAAAAAAAAAGATTAAAAGTAGAATTTCCTCTTGTCCACCATTTTTATGTAGAATTGTGCTGGGAACACATTCTGTATTTAATATAGTTTGTTTAACTAATTAATAAATAGTTACCAAGTGTTTTCCACACATCCCATGTAGTTTGAATGCAATGCTTGCCTAGCATGCACAAGGCCCTAGGTCTAATCCCCAGCACCACAAAGAAAAAAAAGAAGAAACAAGTTTGCTCATTCTATATTCATAGACCCATCATTAATGAGCTGATATGAGAGTTGGAACTGAAGTTCTTTATTTTTTTGTAACTTTATCTGTTAATACTAAAAAATAAATACAAAAAATAAATAAAAATAAATAAATACAAAACATGTACGACAATTAGCTAGCTGCAGTGTCATAGGTCTGCAGCGCCAGCTACTAGTTCCAGCTATGCACTTGGAAGGCTGAGGCAGGAGGATCACTGACCCCAAGAGTTCAAGCCCAACCTGGGCAAGGCAGTAAGACTCCATCTCAAAAATAAATACATACAAAACAGTGAGGACACTGCCTTGCTTGGGCTTTAAATTGTATCTGTGTTTTACTTTGTTTTGTTTTTCTCTGCAGCTCACCCATGCTAGACAAGTGCCTTACCACTGAGCTTCATCCCAGGCCCTTAAAATGATCTGTTCTAAAGCTGAAGAGTTTTCATCAACATTAACCTTTCAGGACCCATAGTAATTTGTCTAAGAGACTCTGAGACACAATTAACAATACCATGTTCTTTACTCCACTAGATCTCTCAAACCTGAGATTCTTCTCCTAAAAAGGAGGAACCAGGGCCAGGGATTTAGCTCAGTGGTTTCGCCTACTGCGCAAGCACAAGGACCGGAGTTCGACCCCCGGTACAAAAAAAAAAAAGGAAGAACCAGCATTAAAAAGGTAAGATAGACCAAAGGGGAATAACACCAAAGAGGTTATGCTTCTTACTGGCTCCCCAACACATGAGTATAACAAGGAGACCTTAGCTGAAGTTCACCCTTTAATAAACATGGCCCATTTACAAAAGGGTTTGGTAGTTTAAATACAATGCAAAGTGAAAAGATTTCATTTGTGTGGAAATTATTATTTTTTTTTAGTTCTGGCACTTAAAACATATGTACCAATTAACTGAAATTAGGCAGACTAAGCACTTCATTCTTCAATGATGTTTCTGTAAATGTGTTTTAATACTTCAAAATCTATCCTACTATTAGACCTGCACGCACATACCAAAAGAAGTCATAATTAACACTTTAGGAAGGGTAAGATGGAGGTGACATTAAAGCTAGGCTTCAAACAAGGAACACAAGTTTTCTAGGTACAAAAACAGAAAAAGGAGCACACTCTGAAGAACGTAAGATAAAGTACAGACCTTGGTGATGGATGGCATTAATTCCAACAATTTATGATCTAAAATATGTCAGGTGCTGGTGATACAAAGATAGGCGGTACACAACAATGCACACTCTCAAAGAGAAAATCTAGTGGAGAAAAAAGATACAAAAGGAAAATTGTAACACTTAGTGGTTTTATAGGACAGTGATTAAGATGTACACAGAACATGGAACATAAGCCTGGTGCCTGACAGAGTTTAGAGGCAACAGGAAAGGTTTCCTATAATCTAGGTCAAATCATAAAGAGAAGGAATAAATGGAGAGCACAGAACAGATGAAAGGGCATGGCCAAAAGATCAAGGGATCTTATGGGCTATTTTCATAAGTTTGAAACATTTTTCTTAAAAAGGAGCAGGGCTGAGAATGTAGTCCAGAGGTAGGACACTTGTAAAACATGTGCAAGGTCCTAGATTGGATCTCAAACACCAGGAAGGAGGAGAAAAAAAAAAATCTGATACAGGTTTTTAAACAGAGTGACCTGATACTTATCCTTAGGAAGATTAACAGCAGGGGCGCATTGGTACACGCCTACAATCCTAGCACTCAGAGGCTGAGGCACCGAAGATTGCTGTGAGTTCAAGACCAGCCTGGGCTACATAGTGAGTTTCAGGACAGACTGAACTATATAGTGAGACCCTGTGTCAAAACACTCCCCCCAGGGCTGGGGATTTAGCTCAGTGGTTCCACTGCCTGCTTCCCAAGCACAAGGTCCTGAGTTTGATCCCTGGTACCAAAAAAACAAAACAACCCCTCCCAAATATATATATATATATAAAATTTTTAAAAAGAAAAAAACCAAAATTAATTAATTAACGCAGGACCAAATGGAAATAATACTAGAGAAAAACATTTAGGGGCTTAAAGGTCTAACACATTAAAAAAACATTTGCCATGTTTTTTTTTTTTTTTTTATTCTGGGGATCAAACTCAGGACCTTCTGGTTGGGAAGCAGGCGGTGGAACCACTGAGCTAAATCCCCGGCCCTTTGCCATGTTTTTTGATCAAATCATGT